GAGGAGCAAGATCGCAGAAAGTTGGTGAATTCACAAGGCGGAACAGCCTCTTGTGGCTGTGATGAAATTCCTGTAGAAATGCCTGCATGTTCAGAGAATTTATCTTTCTCAGCAGTGTACTACCCCCAGAATCACATAACAGTCCAGGCTGGAAAGGACGCCTGAAGTTCATCTGGTCCAGCCCCCTGTTCAGAAAACATCAAAGCCGTACTGGGTTGCTCAGGGCCTCGTCCGGGCAAGTTTTGAAAATCTCCGGGCATGAAACTCCTCGGCCTCTCCAGGCAGCCTGCTGCGGTGCTCCCCGGCCTTCTGGCGGAAAATGTCGTGCTCGGCCCCGACTGGACGTTCCCCAGGTGCCCCTTGCTACTGCTGCCTCTTGGCATCGCACTCCTCGCCCGGGACAGGAGCCTGGCTCTGCCTTCTCAGTCCCTGTTGGCCATGCCAGGGCTCATCCCACCGCCCCAAGGACGGAGGAGGGCAGGCTGGGGGCAGCCCCCCCGCCCAGGCCCGCCGAGGTGCTGGGGCTGGTCTGAGGGTTGAGCTGGGAAGGCGAAGCCGGGCCGGGCCCGGCGAGGGTAACCGGGGTCAGACACAGCCCCACGATCCCGGGTGAGTCCGTGGGTGGCCGAGGCCAGGCTGGGAAGGCAGCCGGCGGGCGGGCAGGGTCCAGGCCAGCGGGGCCCGTGGCCGGCAGCAGCCGGGGACCGGCACTGCTGCAGCATCGCCGGGGCAGGGACCGATGCCAGCGGCGCCGGCACTTTGGGCATTTCAAAACTACCATTCGATTCCCCTCTTAACTTCAGGAGTACGTTGTCCAGTTTAAAGTAAAACTCTAAAAAGATCCGCCTTTGTGTTAGAAACAACACTTTTAGATAATAAAAAAATTATCAAAATTAAACAATAACCTCGTACTGCTTATGCTGTTTATTTTTCTTTTTTTGTATCTTCTCCTTCAGCTTAATTAACTAAAAACATGCTTCCCAATGATCAAAAAATGAACTTTACAAATTACCAAGCATAAGTCGGGATTGCTAACAGTCCTGCAAAATGTTTACATAATAGAGACTTTAAAAATGCTTCAGTTCTATTTTTAAATCATTAAACAATTCACCTTTTTTAAAGCTAACCTTGTGTCTCTGCCAGATTTCACTTGATATTGCCAACTCATTCAGCCTGCATCCCCGCGGGAAAGGACATGGGGTTATATTGGATCACAAACCCGGCATGAGTTAACAGTGTTGCACTATTGCAAAAAAAGCAAACACTGTGCTGAGAAGTATAAAGGGAATTGCCATCAGTAAAACATGTGAAGTAAAGCTCTTAGTTGATTCAGGGCTGAAGAGGTCTTGGCTGGAGTACCACGACCCATAGAAAACATCCAAGAGTTACCATCAGTCGATAATAGATTGACTACAGATTTTATTGGAGTAAGTCAGACATGAAATACAAGTATAAGCCTTAAAAAAGTAGTTAATTGGATGTTTTCATCAGGACATAGAAGCTCTACTTCTCTTCTTCCAGATCGGTAGCCCTGGAAACTAACCCCTGCCCAGTGCCACAGCAGGATATGGAGATCCCAGACTCAACAGCGTTTCAAACAATGGTTCGAGGGGGTCCAAATCCTCTGATCAGTCATAGCCTGACACAGGGACATTTCCCAAGTTCCATTCTTAAATATTTAAATGGAGTCAGTCATCTTAATTAACTACTTCAGCAACAGGAAAATATTCTTTCCTGTACTATCTCTCCTTACTGTTACCAAAGCAGGTTGTGAAATCTCATTTATTGGAGCTTTTTAACACTAGGTTGGGATACAAAGGTACACTAGATAACTAATGTTTCTTCTTTTTTCTACGACTACTTCAGGTAGAACTTTTCATATAACCATAGCACATCTGAGGAGATTTGAGAGATAGGAAGTATAGGGAGTGGGAGGAAACCATAAGTATAGGTGCTGATGAAAAATCATGAGCAGGAGCTTTAAAAGCTTACCATATAGAAACCATATGAGTAACAGAATGAGGTGTCTGCCAGAAAGGCAAAGCTACTGTATTTTCTGACAGAAACACCTCGATGACATATGATGCTCACTAATCGTCTGAATGTGGGCTAATATTTGCAAAAATACCTGTATCACATACACAGTCATAACAAAAGAATTTGGCCACTTACAAAGGCTTCGTTTATTTTCTTGTAATACAGCTTTACTGTGCAAGGCAGTCCTCTTTCGGAATAATCACTGACTGCAGATATAACTGCTGAACATTACTCCTTTGGCCCATTTTAAACTATTTCTGCTGCTCAAATATTGTGAGGTCCTGGAAGAGTCACTCTAAAATTCGTCTTGGTCAAAGATACTCTGCAAAGGCAATACAAATACACAACAAAATTCGCAGGAGGTTATAAACACTAGCAAGGAAAGCAATCACTAGCAACAGACCTGGACGAATAAATCCCTAATAATCCCGTTAAATGTTAAAATGTCCCAGGCTTCAAGTGGAATATTTCTACAAGTGACAGCAGACACAATGTTTTCTTGTTTCTTTGGTCTTTCTTTCGAGCTGAGAAGGTCTGTTGCTATTCTTACAAGTCAGGGACACATCTCTCCTAACAAATAGTTATGATTTTGTTTTTATTAGTGTTTGAATATAACAAACAGAAATAAATTATATTTTTAGGAAGACGGGGAAGAGTAAATTTGTGCTTAAAACACACTAGTAAAAGGTTCCTCAAGTCTGATTACAGAAAAAAAAGAAAATAAATAGCAAAAAGAACTTCACCTAAATTAGCTGTTTCATTACATAACTTTTATAACTGGGGTGAGGTGAGTCAGGACAAGTCCTTAGCAGGGGTCAGACCTCAGAACAGGTACTCATAGTGGTTGCAGTGACTTTTGGCATAAATCAAAGAGTGGGTTTTTTTTTTGAGACAGTGTTGCAACATGAAGATAAAAATTGTATCAGCATACATTGCTATCTCTTGTGCAAAATTACTGCATTTAGGTTAGTATTCTGTCAGAATAGTTTTAGTGTATCCACGAAGCAAGGAAAAAGTATGTTTCTATGTTGCTTTTTATTTTTATCATGACCAAGAAAGGCCTGAAATGCTACCCTGATACCTGTTAAAGGTAATTGTCAGGACTTGGGTAGGTAGATATTCAGCTATCCAGACAAAACCAAGAAAGCCTGGATAATTAGTCACAAAGACTCCAGGTTTAAAGCTTGTTCAAAACTTTTTATTAATACTGCTTTCCATAATACTTTCTGAGATGGCGGAGTGAGGGAGAAGTTTATTTACTGAATTTTCTGCTAACTTGCTAATCATGTTTCTAGAAATATAGACTTGGAACCCTTCCAATTTTCCTTTGTTAATTAACCCCAAATGAACTCTTTGGAGCTACTTAATATGAAATTCAGGAAAGGCGATATTATGTGGGAGCCTTTTTTTTTTTTTTCTTAATAAAATATTAGGTAGTAGAATGGATGCAAGGCCTACAGATTAAATGTGAAAAGTTTAAAAGCGCTGTGACATTTTTATCTGTTTCCTGCGTGACAAGAGATAGCAAAACTCTTTACCCTAAAGTATTTTTCTAGCCACACATTTCAAACAGTGTAAATTCTCTAGCAGGACTTATGGTACTCTGGAGTACCGTGTTCAGCTCTGGGGCCCCCAACATGAGGACATGGACCTCCTCAAGTGAGACCAGAGGAGGCCACAAAGATGATCAGGGGGCAGGAGCCCCTCCCCTGTGAGGCCAGGCTGAGAGAGCTGGGGTGGTTCAGCCTGGAGAAGAGAAGGTTCCGGGGAGACCTTATAGTGGCCTGCCAGTGCTTAAAGGGGGCTACAGGGAAGGTGGGGAGGGACTCTTGATCAGGGAGGGTAGGGCTAGAATGAGGGGAAAGGGTTTTAAACTGAAAGAGGTTAAATCTAGATTAGATATACCAAAGAAATTCTTCCCTGTGAGGGTGGTGAGACACTGGCACAGGGTGCCCAGAGCAGCTGTGGCTGCCCCCTCCCTGGAAGGGTTCAAGGCCAGGTTGGACGGGGCTGGGAGCACCCTGGGCTGGGGGAAGGGGGCCCTGCCCAGGGCAGGGGGGTTGGGACTTGATGATCTTTAAGGCCCCATCCAACCCAAACCATTCCATGATCCATATAGAAATTATTTCTGCTTACGTACTTGAATTTAGAGGAATAAAGACACAGTCACGCAGCACACAACAGGTTATATGCGAACAGTTTCAGAACATACTGCAAACAAATGTTGGGGGTAGTGGTCCAAACCAGCTCAACACCTGCTCTGCCCCGCTCTTACTCTCCATCCTGACCAGGTGTGACCTCGAACAGCACAGCTGAAGCAATCACACTGCTCTCCTCCTCCCCACCGCCCCCCCCCCCGCCCAAAGTAATTACATCATACACCAGCTCCTGAGTGCACACAGCTATGCAGCCCATCCCCTTCGGGAAAGGTTGGATTTCGTAGTCATTTAACAGTAGAAGGGAAGTGAAACCGGACTGTTACTCAAGCCCACAGGCCCAGCTTGTGCGTGCGGCCGGGTCCGGGTGGGGGTTCAGGTTGGGCGCGGGGTCCCCCCCCCCCCCCGAGCGCCGGCGCCCGGGCTGGCAGGGTCCGCGAGCTCTATCGCAACGTGATGCTTGTCGGCGGGAAGCGGCCGCGTTCCCTGCGCCGGGTGACGCCGGGTCCTGCGCAAAACCAATCGCGATGAGGCAGAACCGCCGCGATTTCCACCTCCCCCCGCCGCCCCGCCCCAGCAGGTGATGAGAGACCCGCCCGTTTCCAACGGGCACAGGGCGGCCTGGGGGCGGACACGCCACGGACCCTCTGCAAGCGGCGGGAGGGAGGGCGGGCAAGACCCCCCCTGTGCAAACGCCGGGCCCCGGGCGAGGCTGCAGCGGCCGGGCCGCGAGCCCCACCGAGGACTCCCGGGCGCGGGGAGGGCTGCACGCCCCCCCCCCGCCTTCCCCATTTCCCCGCTTCGCACCTGGGCGCCCGCCGGGGCTGCACGGCGCTGCCGGTGACTCAGCGGCGGCGGCCCGGTGACCCCCTCCCGGCGGCGGCGCGGTGCCGCGGCTCTGCCCCCTCCCTCCCTCCTTCCCTCCCTCCCTCCCTCCCTCCCGGCAGGATCATCCCACCCCGCCGGGCGGTCACCTCAGCAGGAGGAGTCGCCGCTTCGCCTCCGCTCCCGCAGCGACCTGACGGCAGTGAGCCTCGCCTCGCCTCGCCTCGCCTCGCCATGCAAGCAGGGAAGGCAGCCGAGAGCCGGGACGCCGGCCGGCCCCTGCAGCTCACCATGAAGAGGGGCTACGAGGTGCTCCGCGACCCCCACCTCAACAAGGTAGGGGCGGAGCGGCTCGCTGGGCTCCGAGGGCGGGACCCCCCCTCCATCGCCCCGGCCCCCCGCCCGCCCGCGGGGGACCCGCCGCGGCTGGGCGCTGCCGCCGGAGCACCGGGCGGCCTCTCGCCGCCACCTGTCTCGGCTCAGCGCCCGGGGCTTTTTTTTTTTTTTTTTTTTTTTTTTTTTTTTTTTTGGGGGGGGGGATGTAGAGCCCGGGCCGCCCCCGCGCAGCGGCCGCCGGAGCCGGGGGCGGCAGCGGGACTTCCTGCGGCCCGGCCGGCGCTTCCTCTTCCTTCGGGGCGGGGGGGGCCCGCGGGCGGCGGCCAGAGCCGCCCCGGCCCCCGGCCCCGGCCCCGGGGGCGCCGTCCCCGCCCGGTCTGCCGGAGAGGAGCAGCAGCAGCAGCCGCCCCGAGAGGATGCTGCTGAAAGTTACGCCGCTCTGATGCGAGTTCCCGCTGCCGTGACTGTGTTTTTCCGGTACCCTCCTTCTTTCCCACGGCTGCCCCACCTTGTTTCCCGAGGGCGAGCCCGGCTGTTCGCGCTGTCCCACGTTTTATCCCCAGGCAGATGGAAAAGGCGTTTTATCGCCATGGATCCCCTTGCAGCTGTAAAATTCAACTGCGGTATACCCCCCTGCTCTAAGTCGGTGAATGCCATCAGCTTTTCAAGACGTGCCGTAGCACTGCAAATCCTTTCTGTCACATCTCTAAGTCACTTAAGAATGGTAATTCAGCTTCATAAAACTTTCTAGACACGTTAAACTGATCTGGAAAAAATAAAGCCAAGTCAGCTCGGATAAAGATGCAAAGTTCACATAGTAAAATGCTTTATTGGTGTGACAGGCCCTGGATTTGCTGCCAGAATGAAAAATGGGTAGAGTCAAAGGTAGATGATAAACCACACCTAGTACACGAAGCCTTGGTCAAATCCTTAGCCCTAACTTATTTCTTGCACATTACTTTTCATGGTACTCTGACTTGTACCTCTGCATTAGAATGTGTTACAGTCATTTTACTTACTGCTGAGTTGTATAAACCAACAAAAACTATGTGTCTAGTTTTACTGGATAGGTTGACTCATCAGTAAAAGCTCCATATATTGGTTAGATGAATGGTGCTTTTATTAGTCTTGGTGCTTTACTACAAAGTTTCCTCAGAGGCTGTCTTATGTCTGCGTGTGTGTAGGCCTGAGAAGGTCTCCTGAGGTCAGGTGAAAGGAAAATTAACCAAAATATGAAACTCCCAAGCAGAAACCAAGGAGAGGCTGTTTCGCTGGGATTGCTTTTAGGCAGCTGCAGTATTCGTGGAAAAAGTCTGACTCAGCATACCCAGGAAAGCCAACCCAAGGAAAAAACACACCTTGTTTTAAGCAGTAAAATGCGGCTTATTCTGAAATGCATTGAATAAAGGCAGTCAGAGGCAAAGCAGGCTCACTGCTACCTTTTTCCCCCCAAACATCATACAGCTTGCCTCTGAACAGCATACCTGGAGAGGAGGTGCTAAAGAGGAAGGGTCTTGCTTGATTTTCTGTCTTAAGCTTTATTCTTCCCTTTCCCCTTAGCTGCGATATAGCACATATGTACTGTACAGCAGAGAAGCAGGGAAAAGTAGTTGTTCATTACCAGCCACATCTACTCAGCTAACACAGAGTTTGGTGTTAGAAAAGGACAGCTGAAAAATCTGCTCTCTATGCCTGAAAGGAGAGTTTGGTCCTGGTCTGGTGAAGAATGGGATTTCTGACTGAAACAGGTGCTTTTTGGTGGGTGTGGATGTATTACACCCTACTATATATATATATACACACGCATTCACTAATATATATGTATTTTTTATTGCTAAATATATATATATATGAGCAATAAAACCAAATAGTTGAGAACTGCTAACATGTTGCCAGTTTGATAGCTTGTGGCCTGTCTGCATGCACAGGAGCTGGTACTCCCAGTTCACTTTCTATTGCCAAGGCTGTTAAACAAGCATCAGTTTGCAGAGAATTCAATTTGAAGTAGATAAAATATCTCATTTAATGATTCTAAAGTACAGGGATTGTTTGCAGTTTTGCAGAAGTGCCAGAACTTTCTACTATCTCCTGGGCCCTGTCTAAGAGCTGCAATTGCTCGGTATCAGCACTTTCTTTTGGATACGGTTCCAGTTTTAATAGTCCTATTTGCATATACTTTGCAAAAGTGGGACGTAAGTACTGAGTAGTGGTATCTAGAAGTGACTTGTAGAAAAGTAAGACAAACGATGTTTTCAGGGTCTCTTAAGCTAAGACAGCTGGCCTGTCAAGCAGGTAAAGCTGAAGTATGCTGCAATATGTGGAATCTTAGGGCTTTTGTCCTCAAATAATGCATTCCTTTTCTCAGACAAGTTGAAAGGAAAGTTTTACAGAGAACCATTTATACTTAGACATCTTTAAAAATAGGTGTAACAAGAAATAAGGAGCTACATTTTTTTTTTTTTTTAAATACCTATCTCCATTTAGTGCTCCATTCATCCAACAATAAAGCCGGATTTCTGCACACTCAGTGTATGCATCACTTTTTATATTTAACTTTGATGGCCGATGAAAGGTGAGAGAGAAAGGGCTGTGGGAATGCCGGGGTAAATACCCAAATTTCTTCTTTTCCACTTGCCCTTCTACCTGAATTTCCAAAACATACTAAGTGCTGAAGTATGTTGAAGCCCTAGGCAATGTAATTCTTAAATCTTTTATATTTTAATTTGTAAGTAATTCACAAACATGTACAAACTTCACTGAGTTTGGTGGTTTTGTGGTTTATTTGGTTTTTTTTTTGTTTTTTTTTTTTTTTTTTTTTTCCCCCCAATGCTGGGACATTTTGCCTCATAGGAAATCATTGTTGCTTTAACAAGGTTACTGAGTGGTTTGACCCATCTCAGCCTCAGTGATGCATCAAAAATCATGAGGAACAGTGGATCGTAACACACCAAGTTTAATTACTTGAGGACATGTGTCCAAGGCTATGGACACTAATAATGATTGAGCTTATCATCTGATATTTTAAGTCCACAGTGTTTAAAAGTGTAGTTAGAACCTTTTTCTGTTTTGGTATTTTTTTTTTCCCCCCCACCTCAGGCAACTAAACACATTGTAAATAGCAATTACAAGGAAAACAAACACAGTTTCACTTCTTTTCACTGGAATAGATTGCATTAGAAACCTTTGGCTGTTACTTGTGTGCTCTTTAAACTGCTGAGTTACGGAGGTGTGAAAGTAATTTGTTCTACTCCTACTATAAATCTAATTTATGCTTTATTCAGTGTATGAGTTTGCATTTTTAATGCACACAAACCTTTTAACACTAAACTTCCATCTCATCTTTAATTTTTTAACCTCTTAATATTGTTTAAACAAATCATAGTTTCCCATAAGATGCTTATTTTCAGAATCATGATGTGAAGATCTGCAAATACGCATTTCAGTATCAAACTTTTCCAATAGCCTGTATTAGTTGCCAAGTCTAAACACTTCCCTGACTGAGAAACATTGCCATTGGAGGAGTGCTTTGCTTCCAAGCAGCTTTCATATTCTTGCAGAGTGATTTAGCGAGCAGGAAGTAAGTGATTTTATTAAATCTAAGTGCTGGAGGGCTCTGTCCCCTCCCCAGCTGCTTAATTTTAAGCCCTCTTCTCTGTCTGGCTGCTATCATTGTTGCCAAGTGTAGAGACGCTTGTAAACGGTTGGTCCCTCTTTTTTCTCTCCCTTTATTCGAGTTGCACTAAAGCACTGGAGAGTTTCAGAACAGACTATCTGGTGGGGCTGCTGAATATCTGAGAGCTCCCAGTCTCAATCCCACCTGCAGTGGCATTGATGTTTTATCCTTACCACCTCCTGTTATATGCAAAATGCCCCTGCATTTTGGTAGTTTCCTAACTAAGCAGTGATGTTAGTTGTTGGCTGGAGTTGGCTCCCAGTCCATTGTCTGACTATGGGATTTACTATACAAGAACCATACTGGAACAGACCAAGGGTCCATTTATCCCAATGTCTTATTTCTGACAGTAGCCAAACTGGATCCCTCAGGAGAAGTAAAAGAACCAAGGATGCCTCTAGCGATACTTTCTCAGAATGATCGATTCCAGGCTGAAGGAATGAATGGTTTATTAGGGGTTATTAAGATATGAATGCTTGTCTTGCCTATCAGATTACACATGCTATGTGTGCTAATTTACTAAAAAACAACTGTAAACTTTTTTTTTTTTTTTTTTTTTTTACATTCAAGTGATATCGTTATCTGAGCTAGAGAGAAGCATGGACTTCCCATTTTGTCCCAGACAGTGGGAGGAGAATGCTTGTGAGGTACAGATATATTTTGTTACATATACAGATAGTTGCTTTGCTAAAATAAAATTTGATTTTGAGAAAGTATAATCCTGTGATTGATGTGGGTGACATATAAAGGGTTTTAGGACTTTGACGTGTTGGTGACCCTGTAACAGGCCTCAGAAATCCCAGACCTCAGTAGAAAATGGGAAGCATTCTGGTGAGATTTTTTCTGTCTGATATGTAAAAGAGAAGAAACATTTAAGAAGCTCCTCTAAATAAATCCATTCCTTTACCAATTATCAAATGGTAGAAGCATTTTTTCCTTCCACTCATCATGTTCATATTTTCACCTCTTAAACTTGTGTGTACATTGACTGAGTCCTCTGGAGTGGCCAGTGCTCACTGGGTGTTGTTTGTGCCTGCCTTAGCTGTAGATAGATAT